GGGACAGCGTATCTGCACAAGGCTGAGATAATGGCATCTGTCGCTGTTCCTTTAGTCACAGTCGACCCAGTGCTGCCCATTAGCCGGCTGCTGGCTGACTGCCCCGGCTCGACACGCTCTGATGGCCCAACACAAAAAAATACAGGATCTGACCGGCGCTCCTGTCTCGCTCCTTACTTCCCCTTTTTTCCCTCCCCCCATTCCTACTGTCATGACTAGAGGCTGTCTGGTGTTGGATTTTGTTGGCAAAGCAGCACTCTAATAAAAGAGGGCCCTGACAGTGCTGAGGTATGACTACTGCTTCCCTCTGATCCATACCAGAGTAGGACAGGCCAGCAGATCAGGTCCCTAATTCACAATCAGAGCGCAGCTCCTGTAAGACAGATCTCTCCTCACAGGACATCTCGCTCGGATCGTGGAGCTGCTAGACAGCACTGTCTTGATGTAAAAAATAACCAGCACCTGGTGAAATGGCAACCGGAGCGGTTTCCTCAAGTCACGTCGCTTTGTTTAGCAAGAACCGAGCCTCGTTTCATCTGCTTCAGAATGCACACCTACAGTGGCACAAGATAAAAGGGAATGCGCAGCTGACAAATGTCTATCAGTCTCCACTCCAGTGTGGCACTTTCTAAACTTAGCATAACATCAGACCTAGCCATCAGAAAAGTTCCAGACACTTTGGTGTGAGGACTGTAGCACAATCACGTCAACACTGCAGTTGGGAAGAGGTGTGGAGCGGTAAGAGTTCCCAATTATTAGCCAAGTTTGGTCATTAACGTCTAGGAGAGGAGGGGGGTGTGCAGCCACGTCAGTTTTGATAAAGTAAAGCAATTTCAGCCACTGCTATTCAGCCAAATTACAGTTGTACATCATGCTGGTTTCTCGCTCATTGTACAAGTGCATGATGTTAACATTTCATTAGCATGTTGGTCGCCACTGAAAGGGTAAGAGAGACAAGACAAACAATAACTAGGCAAAGCGAGAGAGAAACACAGTCATTCAGGTCTAATTCATAAGCATTGGCGACATCTAGTGGACAGAAAACGGCATTATCAAGTGATGTGCTTCAGACACGTTTTATTGACAATATTTATTGCTTATACATTTAACATTTATATTTGCTGAATATTACAGTGCTTTCAAAGATATTAACAAATCAACTTTGTCCTTCTATGAAAAAATAACTATACAAAAATTGGCAGTTGGCAGTGCAACAACTGTGTTAACTTGGTACAATACAACATTGGAATAAAAAATAATTTTAAAAAGGACAGAACTGATCCATTCTAAAAGCCTCTTATGTTTGACGACAACCCATATTAATGTATTATGGTATTACAGTAATCTAATAATAAAAATTGTAGTAACTTTATACAACATAGCTATATAACGTTAATACATTATAATATAATTCAAAATAATTAGATATACAGTGAGACAAGTAACAATGTCTGACTTAATGAGCCAATCCAGACATTAAGATTATAAGTAAATAACAACTTAAACATAATTATATTATACATTTTATGCTTATATTCAGTACTTCAGAACAATTGTACGTGTGATATTGCTTTAATAAAACCATAAACTGTAAAGTAATTAGGCCTAATTGTCCTTTGGAGGAAATTGTGGTTATTGTTGTAAATTAACAAGTCATGCCTTACTCTTAATGCTTGTTTCTATATAGCCTATAAAAATATGGTGGATACATTTCTTTTTCTTTTTTTAATCATTATTTTGATGCACATAAAATTCCTTACATCTAACCCCGACTCTTAATTAACCAGAATTGTTTAATTATTCACCTACGAGCTGCATGAGGAGTTTCTTGTTTTTACCAAAATTTCTAAAGTGCGCCAGGCCAGTAGCCATTTAAAGGATTAATGCAAAACTTTTACAAGAAATTAGAAGCTTAATGAAGTGGACAGAAATGCTGTCAGTGTTTTATTGCCAGTAAATTGCGTAGATGTGGAGGTCTCGTAATGAGTCGTGACAATAGCTGCGAGGCGTATCTGCTTTTAATGGCTTCTTGTGAAATGACTGCGTTATTCAAGCTCGTATTTAACAAGAGTGCTCGAGTAATGTGCCATAGCCAATAGTGTTAGCCTTCTCATAAAACTGAATTAAGCTTCAACACTCAGAAAAATAGAAAGATCACCCAAATTATTATTAGACTGCTATTGACATTGTTGGCCTATATTGTTTAATGAGGCGTTTTAGTACTTTTTCATAAGGACCAAAAATTTAGGAAACAAAATATAAAGGATGTTTACCTTGAGGTATAAATGAGTACCTCAGCACCAGCACAGCCTATTGCTATTTCTGCCATATAAAGTTGTGGTAGTGATAAGAGTAGTGTGATAGTGTGATATTCCCAAATCAGCCCATGTGTTTTAGTTGGGACAATTTAATTGAAGTACTCTGGCGCCCCCAATTGTCAAAAAAAGTGGGAAAGTTAAAAAAAAATCCGTTTAGAATGAAACGAGGCTAACCTGTTCTTTAGTTCACTTAAAACTGATATGATACACCAGGGGCGTAGATTTAATATCAACCCCCCCACACACACTTTTAATATCACGTAAATTCGTCCCCCGCACTTTTTCGGGCAAGTGTGTTCGCATAGAGGTTTTCAAGAGCCGGTGTGAATAAATATAGATTTAAATTCAAAGAGACAGGATAGTCTGTGCATGACCTGATGTTTTATTCGGACCCAGAATAAGGCGAGATGCACATTGCAGGGCGCTAAACACTCGGTGCAGTGTATATTTCATTCATACTCATAGCCGGAGGGCGCTCTCGCGCAGAAAGTCGTATGAGGAAATTCCTAATATGGACAAAACAGTTTTTTTCACAGAAAAACAGAAACGTTTGGAAACATGAAGACATTAAACATATGATTGCGACAATATATGGTTTATTTGTGTTTGTCAAGTCATCTCCAGGTAATAAATAAAGTATATGAACAATGCAGTGCTAACTGACATAGCATTTATTACAGTATAGAAACTATTCTGCCTTAGTATGTGATTATAACGTTTTTGTAGTATATAAACAAATCATTATTATTGGTTGTTGTCCAGCAGTTATCTGATTTCTAAGTCAATTAAAAGCTAGAAATTAGAGAACAATTAAAGTTGCCTATACACCAGTCAACAGTTTTTGAACAGTAAGATGTGTAATGTTTTTAAAGAAGTCCCTTCTGCTCACCAAGCCTGCATTTATTTGATCCAAAGTACAGCAAAAGCAGTAATGTTGTGAAAAAGTACCAGGCTATTTAAAATAACTTTTCTATTTGAATATATTTTCAAATGTAATTTATTGTTATTTCAAAGCTAAATATTTAGCATAATTACTCCAGTCACACGATTGTCCCCCTCACTTCTGAAATGATGGCTACGCCCCTGTGATACACCATAAATTAATCGATCTCTTTAATTGATGGAGTGTCTTAATCATGAGCATGGCACTAAAGGTAGCCTATAGTTTGTCGCTTCAGACTTGACAAATAGTAGGCTACCAGGCTATATAAACATATCAGAAAAATATTGTAGTAGTGGTAGTGCTGAAGTAGCGTGCTATATTCCCAATTTCTGCGATAGCTTTTTCTGTCAAAATGTCAGATATTTAAGCTGTTATTTTATTTATTAATTGTTAATCTTCCACACAACGTCTGTGGCTGCTCTGGAGGCAGTAGGTTGAACTAAAACCGGATCATTCCGATCCGATACGTGAATGAATCATCCAAACCGATTGTGTGAACTGGAAAAGATTTGGCTCTAAAGAACGATTGGTTTGTGATTCGAACGTCACTTCATGACCCCTCCAATGTCAAGACTTTTCTGTGGATATTAAGGACTTAAATTTCAGTCTGTTTGACGCACAACATTTTTATGACTCGGAATATTTAATAAGAGTCATATGGACTACTTTTATGATACTTCTGTAGTGTTTTTCGTCATTATGAAGCTCGATATTCTCAAAAAAAAAATGACATATGAGTGATTAAATACAATTAATGTATGCATTTACTAGATCGACCTACATTTCAATCAAGGAATACATTTTACCAGCTTGTGAATTTTCTAGGAATCAAAACTATAATCGCTGATGCCATACTTAGCTTTTCTGGACCAACAGGAAACCTATTGTATTTTTGAACGAACTGTTCTTTGATGATTTGTGCACATATGACTTTTTTTCTCCCTTCAGCAAGTGTGGTCCCAATTAAGTGACAGGTCTCAATTAAGCATAATCAGTTAATAATCTATAATAATTACAAGACCTAAGTATTTCTAAATTAAATCTGGGACCAAATCAATGACAGCACATTAATATTCTTTCCGGTGTGTACATGTTTTATTTCTTGTGAATGATAACACCTTTGGCAAAACGCAAGACAAGCATAATTTGTGTCCTATATGTAGTCTGAGAAACAAGAATCACAAGCAAGCTTGAAGATCAGTTTCTGTTTTAGTTATCATTAAATGAAATTAGAAAAGATGGAGCTGATTGCAAGACAATCAATTCAAATGTCCTGTCACTTCACTTATCCTTAATTTCTTTATTTTATAGCAGATTTTTCTCCGAATCACAAACAACATGCTGATTGGTGATTGGAAGAGTGAAAGCAACGTTTTAAATCTGAGCAAAACTGCATTGGCACCTCAGAACCGGAATGTAAGTAATTCAAGTTCATCCTACAATGTCCTCGGATTGCATGAGCTACACGCCAAGGATGCCGTAACGTAACTGGACGGCAACAGTACAGCATAGCAGTTTGAATTTTGTTAGTTATGATCCCTGACATCCTCCGAGGTAAGTGCAATCACAGTGTTCCAGAGGTCAAATGGAACGGTACAGCTCTTTCTCAGTCTTCGGAGTCGCAAACGCTCTCCCATGTGTGACTTCACAACATCTCTGGGCCATCAAACTGGTGCATATCCCTCTCCACTGCATACATGCATGTGCACACACACACACTCAAGACAAATTCAAAACCACATTTCAATCCCTTTACTAACCTTTCATACACAATACATGGGCTGTTTAGGTGACCGAGTATGCATGTGTGGCAACGGCTTGCATCAGACAGGCCTCCTCTATGTAAGGCTTCAGAAGTGTACGCTCAAATTTTGTGCACCACAAATGTTCACAGAAGTCTGCCACATTCACGTGTTGAGGAGTAAACCAGGTATGCGTTTAAACTTGGCTACTGTGTTAAGTGACCAGCAGAGTATCATACAGCATTCATCCAAGTTGTCAGGCGGTTTGGCCTGACAGGGTGAGAGGTTTCTTGCTGTACTTTTGTTTTTTTCCTCAGTGACTTGCACATTGTTACTTGTTTTTTTGAGGAACAGTTTGTTAATGCCTTTTAGTCACAAAAAAAAGTGTTCCACCTTCTTTTGTGCCTTTTCCCTTCCATCCATCTGTAGCTTTGCAAGCTTGCCCACGTTATATTTTTCTGTCCCACCCACTGCAGCAAGTTTATTTTAATGACTTTCAAACTCTTTTGCTTGTAAAGCGTTTGGGAGCAGTAATGATGGTCGGCATAAAGAATGCGACCCATCTTGTAGTCTCTCTCTTTTGTTACATTTTCCTTCGTCTCCACACTTTTCATCATTGTCTTTATCGCTATCTTTCTACACAGTGCTCCTGGGGGTTCCGTTTAAGGCAACAGTCTTCATGAGAGGGGTGCCAGCTGGCTGAGTGCTTGTCCTTGAGGTGGAAACGCCCACCTCGAACACCTCATGAATGGCTTTCCGGAAACAGTGGAAATTGTAGTCTATTAATCCTGTGGCACAAATAGGAGAATTAAAAATAACCGAAAACCACTAGTATGAAAGACACCGACATAACTATTGCTGTGGTGTACCTTTGCGCTCAAAGCTCTCTTCTCTCAGGATGCAGACCAGGGCGAGGAACTTGGTGACCTCTTTCAGGTAGAGCACTGTGGTGTTGTTGAGTTTGATGATGGCCATAGACTCCTTATCATATGCACTGCCAGTGCCATCCTCCTTTAATCTATATGATCAAAACACACAACAAGCACACTAAAAATAATGTTAGGAACATGTCAACTCCTCTTCTTAAGGGAAAAACTACATTGTTTATGTATATTTGTATGGATGTTACATTATGTTATTTGAGAAGTTATATGTATTATTAAAATGGAATTAACATTGGATTGAAATTGGATCCAACTTGAGTCATTTACAGTATACAGTAATTCAAAATGCTTTTCACCATTGTGACAAATAAAAATAAGGTATATGGTCTGTCACATTTCCTTAATTTAAAACCATCCACAATAAAGGAAATTAGTAGGTTCTGCAAGTTAAGAGAATTGGGGAATATAAAGTTTTAAAGCGCTCTCATGAGCAAAAGAGGGATGTGGGTGAAATTTGAGTCAATAGAGAGATGGATAGATGGATATAGATATATTGTGTTTGTATGTATTGTGCATGTACTCCAAGCAGAAATAATATAAAAGGCTCACCCGTAAATACAGGAGACGTCGATGACCACATCGATCATGTCACAGCAGAGCTCATAGGACTGCATGTCCACTGGTGAACTGTCGGTGGCGATGTAAATCTTACTGACGACGTCAAACAGGAAGGCCTTCTCAATCCCTGAATTCTATTAGCAGAGAAACACACATACACGCACACGTTGCATAATGCCCTGCAGGGTTTGATATGGGATCTAACAGCATAGAGAGGATAATAAAACATGCATGAGCATGACTGAATCAGAGATGGAAAATGAATAAGCCATTTCCACTACATCAACAACACTATATATTCTTCATAATGACAATAATGGAGTGACCAAAGAGGAAATGGAACTTTATTAAGGTGCAAATATCATTTAAACAGCATGGCCTATCTAGAAGCATTAGAGTCTTGAGGTAGAGACACATACAGATATAAAGATGTTGAGAAGGTTCTCCAGCGTGGGAAGCTGAGGGATGAGCTTCTGGACAACTTTACTGAAGGCCTCAAAGATGGAGTGATCATATATACTAGTCAAATAGAAACTGTAGAGGACAGAAAAAAGGCATTCGATTAGACAGATATCTAAGAGATTTGTTACAGCTCATACACCTAATTCTTATTTTACCAGTTATTAGCACGGTGGTCCAAACAGCACATAATGCTTT